AGTACTAAAAGTATTCAAGCTAAAAAGGTGAGTTATAAAAAGAAAATACATTGCCTTCGACTGATTTATGTTTAATATGTTTTCGTGAAGTATTTCCAACATGCTAGTTACTTGAATGGTTGTAAATTGTACGTGTATAAGTGATAAAAACATCTAGTGCTTTGTGCTTCCTTTTTTTTGTTGGTGTCCCAGCCCAGCATTCCTAGCCAGCAGTAGTAGCAAAAACATTAACATTGTCTACATTCAACCCATTTATATGTACATGATTTATCAGCTAAAAGCAGAATACAACATTTCTCTGCAAAATGTAAACAACGCTACAAGGAAAATTGCTCATGTATAAATACACCAATTAAATCAAAATATATTATTTTTAAAGGACTTATATCAACTATTATGTTAATTATAAATATTATAAGTATTTGTAACAAAATAATAGTTGTGTATTAATAAACCTGTTTCTACTCCAAAAAATATATTATTTTTTGATTATCAAAAATATGTGTACCTATAGAAATTTGTTGAAATGTTCTATTGCTCTTAATCTTTTTAATGGGTTCTTATTATAGTTGTAAATAAAAATCAACACTTTTTATCCATTTATTTAACACTTACAAACCTATGCATATTTTAAGTTGTAAGGATCCATAGCCTCTTAATGTTTTACATTAGAAATAAGACCTGTGATGTCACATTAAATCGTGAATATGAGTTAAAGGATTTGGGAGTTGTCTTTCAGTCTAATTTGAAGTTGAATAACCATTTTTTACACATAACTAAAAAAGCAATAAAAGCATTAAGTTTTTAAATCAGAAATACAAAAATATTTAGGATTACCACCAAAATCAGATTATATAATGCCTTAGTAAGAGTCCATCTTGAGTATGTTTCACAAATATGGATGCCCTTGGAAGCCACACAAATTGATCATATTGAAAAAGTACAAAAAATATTTTTACGGTACCTTCCCAGAAAACACACTAAATCCCAGAGATATCCACAGAATATCTTTTGTGGATATCCAATATATCCACAGAATATCAGAAATATTCCGTGGATCTAATATGTATATCCAAATGTCCGTCTATATCCAGAATATAGAAGATATCCTAATGGATATTCAGCAAAATATCTAATGGGTATCTTCAAGACAATACAAGAAATCCCAGAGATATCTACAGAAATTATTTTGTGGATATTCAATATATCCAATATGGATATCCAATCAAATGTCCGTCTATATCCCAGGATCTAGAAGATATTCGGATAATCAGCAAAATATTTTATGGGTATCTTTAGTAGAGGTTCATAAGTAACCAATGATTATTGAATAACGTCGAAAGAAAATAACAGAGATAAAAAATATTTTCAACACTCTGCCTTTGATTTTTCCCCATAAAAGAGAAAGTCATCCTTATTAGGACTCTTTAGCAATAAATGAAAATTCTCGACTCTAGTCTCTAATGGAGTGATTAGGACACACATTTCGATCGAACTCAATTACGGCGGGTCGAGCATGAGTAGATGCGATAGTGGTATCGCCATCTATACTTAGTAAGCAGAATCAAATAACATCTATACTCTGTTTTTAAACTAAGAGGAGCGAATTGGAAAGTCCTATTTACACAGGGAAAAATAACTAAAAAAGTAACTAGTTATCATTTTAGCGGTAAATTTGAATTTGTCTCAAGAAAAGCATTTCAAAACTTTGTTATGAATTCATTGAAGTCAAAGTTTTAGATAACCAACGAATAAAGATGACACTAAATTGTGCTCATTCCGTTTTTGATTTATAATTATTGTATTTTAGTTGTACTTTTATTTTTTCCTTACTTCGTCTCATATCGCAGCTCGGACCAGTATGTTGAGAAGAGAATCGCCCAAGCAGCGACCAAATTGAGTAAAATGTCTCGCAACAAAATACAAAATAATTTACATTTTGAGTTTAACATAGAGTTTTAATTCGATATTTTATTCATTGTTTTATAAGTAACTGTGATTAGAAAATTATATATCTATTATAATAACAGAAAAGAAAGTAAATAGTAGGTTTTTCAATTTGATGGAAAAATTAGAAAAATAGGTAGGTATGCCAGTTCTATTTGTTGAAATGAAATTAAGCACCTATTATTACCTACCTATTACAAAACATATTTAGGAGGGACTGAAAAATATGTAGTTGAAGAAAAGATTTAAAATGAAGAATTTTAGCAGGTACAAAAAAATAAAGTTTATTTTTATATTTCTTTATAGGTATAATTTAATTTGTAATATTTTTTCTTAAAATTAAACTACAAGATTACCATTAGTTGTATGGATTTCCTAATTAAATAAGGGTTCTTTCTTTAGGTAAAATGTAGCAAAGTTCTGAAGTAGGATACGATATGTTTGCAGACAAGTGTTTTGAAATGAAATAAATCAAATCTATACGAATTTTGTCTCCACTAACAAGATGTTATATGCAACAGTCGAAAGTGTAAACTGGGCAACGGCTTATTAA